AGAGAGAGAGAGAGAGAGAGAGAGAGAGAGAGAGAGAGAGAGAGAGGAGCGATACAAGATTGTTGTGCGGTCCAAGGAAGAAGGCGGCCATGGCCGCGGAGCTCGGACACGGAGGTAGAAGAGAGAAGACGAGTGAAGGAGAGGAGAGACGAAGGAGGAAAGAGAAGCCATAGTTGAGGAAGAGGAAGGAGGGACGCCAAAGGAGAAAGAAGCCCTAGCCGGGGTGAATGAGAAAGAAAGGAAGAAAGAAGGAAGGAGGGAGAAGAAGAGTATCGGAGGTTGGTGAGGGGTCAGCAGCCATAGCCAAGTTGAGCATTGACCAAGGTGTTGACCGGGAAGTCAACCGGAGTTGACCAAGGCGTTGATCGAGGCGTTGACTGGGGAGTTGATCGGGGTTGACCAGAGCGTTGACTGGGGAGTTGACCGAGGTTGACCAAAGTGTTGACTGAGGGTTTGACAGGCGTTGATCGGAGCTGTTGACCACAAGTTTGACCAAGCTGGAGTTGGTATATTCTCGCCAAGCCTTCAGCCTATTCCCTCGCCCTATGGATGTGTACTCACCCCATGGTACTTGCTGAGTCTGTCTGTGAGTCTCTTCTGTCCAGATGATAGGAACTCTGTGTATGAGGTCGTAGAGCTTTGTTGACCAAAGCCACACGGGCTGAGAAGGGCTAAAGACCGTGTCTGACGACTGACTGACTCGAAGGACAAACCTTCCCAAGGACCGGTACAAACCGGCGGGCTGCTGAGTGTGGCATGGTAGGCCCAAAATCCGAGTTGTGGGTTGTGCAACAAGTTGTCTAAGTCTTGAGAGGACTTGCTGATCGCGTCGTCCTGTCTGCGATGTTAAATAATTCTTGAGGAGTTACGGGGGATCTCCTTAAATACCTCCTGATCAGCATTGAAGTCTTGTAGTGACAGCCTTACCATTAGGTCCAGTCTAGAGACCATAGCTGACAGGGTCCTATACGGATCCTGTCGTGGCCTTGTTGGAGGAGCAGGCCGTGAAAAGAAAAAAGTTGGAGGAAGAATTGGAAAAGTTGAAGGAGGAGGAAGAAAAGTTGAAAGCAGTGGAGGTAGAGGAAGAAGAGGAAGAAGAGGAAGAAGAAAAAAAAACAGAAGAGGAAGTTCCCCTGTTCAGAAAGAGTTTCAAGGAAAGAGGGGAATCCAGTGGCACGAAGAAGGAGGGGGACCCATGGTTGGAAAAGAAGGTGTCTGAGTGGGTCGCTAATCTATCCCTGGGAGAGGACGAGGAGGCAATGATGTATGTACCGAGGGCAAAACAGGAGGCGGTAGTGAAAGAGTGGGAAATAGAAGAGGACCCCTTAAAACACCAAAATATAGAAGAGGAGAAGAAGTTGGAGTGGAAGTTGCGATGGACCAGGGAGAAGAAAAAAAGAATGGAGGGAGGCCGCAAGGAAGAGGAGGAGGCCGGGGCCAAGGGGGCTAGGCTTCCAGTGGTCGAGGACAGGGCGATCAAGGGGTTGGTGGTAGAGGAGGCCGCCAAGTTGGAGGTAGGGGTCATGGTCCCCCTCAAAATAGCTCTAGTTTCAATCGATCACCTAGGAGGGGTGGATGGCACCCTGGTTTGCCGCAGGGCAGGCCTTGGGAAGATCTGGGCTTGGAACAAACTGTGTGGCAGAGGCGAATAGACCAGGATCAGTGCATTTATTGCGGTGATTTGGGCCATATCATAAAGTACTGCCTTAAATATACAGAAGCCCGGTTTGTTGCACAAGCAGCAAAAGGCAACCGCCGGTAGGGGTTGCAACTGCACCCATCCCTAGACCATGTGGAGAAGAGTGCGCGCACCACATAGGAACTCCCAAACCACATGCGTCTATGACAGAGGTTGCTGACGAGTGCCTGGACAACTGTTCAAGGACTGCTTGTGTCAGTCTCTCTAGGCACTTCCAAGAAGAGTTGAAGGAGAGGATGCCTGCCTGGGCCAAGATGAAGAAGGAGGTGAAAGGACAACTAGTCTTAGTAGATGTAGAGGTCTTTAGAAGTAGGGTAGGGGCCCTTATAGACAGTGGGGCCACCCGCAGATATATCAGCAAGAAAGCGCTGCAGAAGCTGAAGTTAAATCTAAAAGTCTATAAGTTAGAAGACCCTATAGTCAGTATCCTCGCAGATAATCGCACTATGTGAGTCGAGGATTACGTAGAGGGAGTCCAGGCGTATTTTCGCCTAGAGAAGGATGGGAAGGTGGAAAAAGTTTGCCATTCCCTGACTCTCTCGTAAAGAACAACCTTCCTTTCGACATGGTCCTAGGAATGGACTGCGGAGAGGCAACAGGGGCCACACTCCACTTGAGAGAGCACGAATATAGGTTCCCTAGAGAATACAACTCCATCAGGCGAAGTCAAAACGGCTCGTCTGTTCCATGTGTCAGGAGTAGACAACTCGTTGGCACACTGTTGTCTCAATGCTCCTGCGTTCACGCGATTGGTAAAGGAGCAGTTAGAATAACAGGTTTTTCTAGTCGCCTGCAGGGGTAGTACCGCGACCGATCCAACATCAGATTGAGATAGAGCCTGGCAGTAGAACTCCAAAGGGGGACGTGTACAGAATGTCCCCAAAAGAGTTAGCGGAACTGCGTAAGCAGTTAGATGAGCTCCTAGAGAAGGGTTGGATTAGGCCTAGTTCGTCTCCGTTTGGAGCGCCTGTTCTTTTTGTTCCCAAGAAGGAAGGAGAGTGTCACATGTGTATAGACTATAAGGGTCTCAATGCCATTACCGTGAAGAATGTTGAACCACTGCCCCGCATAGATGATCTGTTAGATCGGTTGCAGGGTTGTAAGTACTTCTCAAAGATAGATTTAAAGTCTGGTTATCATCAGATAGAGGTACATCCTGATGACTAGTATAAGACGGTATTCCGAACTAGGTATGGGCATTATAAGTTTATAGTTATGCCTTTTGGACTAACCAACACACCAACAACATTCCAGTGTTGTATGAATGATTTGTTTTGGCCTTGGTTAGATCGGTTTGCAATCAAATACTTAGACGATATCTTAGTTTTTAGTAAGACCCTCCAGGAGCATGAGGGCCATCTGAGGCAGGTCTTGGAGAAGCTAAGAGAAGCTAACTTCAAGATTAACGCGAAGAAGTGTGAGTGGGCCAAGACGCAAGTTTTGTACTTGGGCCACATCTTAGATGTGGATGGCATAAAGCCTAGGGATAGTAAGATAGCAGCAATTAGAGATTGGCCAACGCCCCACACATTGACATAATTGCGGTTGTTCCTAGGCCTAGCCAACTATGATAGAAAATTTGTGAGGAACTTTTCTACCATCGCTGCACCCCTTCGCAGGTTGTTAAAGAAAGAAGCAATCTAGGAATGAGATAGAGACTGTACTTTGTCCCTAAAGAAGTTAAAGCGGGCCTTG